TTACCACTCATTCTTAGTCCTCATCGGACCCCCTGGTAATTTCTATGGCTATTCACAAATTTTTTGTCAAAAGAATATTGGTGGACACTGGAAGCAGTGTCAATGTGCTGTACTGGGAAGCCGCCCAGCAATTGGGAATCAGGAAGGAAGATCTCACAAAGCTTAACATGCCCTTGTCCGGCTTCACTGGAGATATAATTGAACCGGAAGGGTCCATTAAATTGGACATCATCATAGGCGAGCATCCTAAGGTGAGGCATATGAGGATGGATTTTGTAGTGGTCGACATCAAATGCGCTCACAATGCCATCTTAGGGAGGCCTGGGCTAGAGGACTTGGGAGGTGCACTATCCCTTGAGCACCTGTGCCTCAAGTTTAGGACTCCCGAAGGTGTTGGGAGGGTCCTTGGTGATCAGCCCGCGACCAAGAAGGCCTATCTAAGCGCCTGTAAGAAGATAGACAAGGAGAACCTCAACATCCAAACCATTGGGCATGTTTTGGAAGATAAAGAAAAGAAGGAGGAAGACCGGGAGAGGCCTAAGCCAGCTGTGGAAATGGAGGAAGTGGTGTTATTCCCGGAAGGGGATCAAGAAAAGGTTGTGAGGATCGGTTTAGGGCTAGAGGAGGATACCCGTGAAGAGATAATCCGAGTATTAAGAGAAAACTCGGTCCTCTTTGCATGGGAATCCAAGGATATGCCCGAAGTCGATCCCTCAGTCATTTGCCATAAGTTGAACATCAAGATGGACTCCCTCCCGGTCAAGCAGAAGAAAAGATATCTGTCCACGGACAGAAAAGAATTTGTGAGGAAGGAGGTGAAAACCCTTTTGGAGGCCGGCCACATTAGGGAGGTCCAATATCCCAAATGGCTCGCCAATGTGGTGCTGGCACCAAAAGGGGACACCTTTCGCATGTGTGTGGACTTCACTGACCTCAATAAGGCATGTCCTATGGACCCCTTTCCCCTACCAAGAGTAGATCAACTGGTAGATGAAACGGCGGGCCATGAACTATTGAGTTTTATGGACGCCTTCCGAGGATACCATCAAATTTTCATGCACAAAGA